GTGATATTATATTATTATTATTATTATACCCCAGTGATATTATATTATTATTATTATACCCCAGTGATATTATATTATATTATTATTATTATACCCCAGTGATATTATATTATTATTATACCCCAGTGATATTATATTATTATTATACCCCAGTGATATTATATTATTATTATACCCCAGTGATATTATATTATTATTATACCCCGGTGATATTATATTATATTATTATTATACCCCAGTGATATTATATTATTATTATACCCCAGTGATATTATATTATTATTATACCCCAGTGATATTATATTATTATTATACCCCAGTGATATTATATTATTATTATACCCCAGTGATATTATATTATTATTATGACTCCCAGCGCTCTGTTTACCTGATTCACTAAACTCCGAAGTGCTGCGATGTGAATGGGATAAGGAACCCGCCGAGCTGTGGCCGGGATCGCTCCATTACGATCTCAGTTCGCAGTTTAGTGAATGAGGCCACGTGTGATGACGTCACTCACCGGGGGAGCCAGTGTGAGCAGCCAGGGTCCCAGATCCACAGCTCCTAGCAACACTTCCGCATCGGGCCACGCCCATTTATCATCCTGCTCTATGACGTCAGCACTGCGCGCCGGCCAGTGGGCGGCAGGGTGGGCGGGGCCTACAGCGGATGGGCGTGGTTTCTATTTTATCACAATACATGGGATATAATATCATACATTATTTATTATATTATCCAATACATGGGATATAATATCATACATTATTTATTATATTATCCAATACATGGGATATAATATTATACATGGTTTATTATATGTGTAATACATGGTGTATCATATTATACATGGTTTATTATATGTGTAATACATGGTGTATAATATTAAACATTATTTATTATATGTGTAATACATGGTGTATAATATTAAACATTATTTAGGGGGGCGGGGCCTGGCAGCCAAGATGGCCGGACGTGCACTCTAAGTGCTCCTGCACACATGCCTCTGAAATAAGCTTATATTGTGCAACATCACACCGCTGGAACCCTAATCCGAACTTCGGATAGCCAGGAACTGAGTGGGATCCTGTCGAAACACAATCTGGGACTTTCTGCTGCCTTCTGATACTGCAAACACATGTGGCCTAATCTGTCTGGCTGCCTGGCGACAGGGGGATACGGCCGACCCCCCGACACGGAGCCAGCTCAGCATGACAACCATTATGCAGCCCCACAACCACCCCTATGGACCGGTGGGGGATATCCCGGTCCCCACTGGAGGCACTTACCGCTCCCCTGCTACAGACTCTCCGAGTGGTCCAAACACCGCATGGCAGGCCCAACATGATAGCTGCACCTCAACACGCTCCCATACTGGAGAGCACGTCACTTCAGACTTGGAAGGAAAACTTTGACACGCTTTGAACAGCTATGTCAAGAATTCTGGAGGCGAATCGAGAGCCAAAACTCTTCAATCACCCTGTCAGTGGAATCTCCTACCCAGACCTCCAGACTGGAGCGCCGACCCCACTCCAGGGTGGGAACCCACGTGGAGGCACTACTTACTGATCGCCCAATCCCACGACGTGCTCTCCGCACTCCAAAGATCTCACGGGTCCGCAAACCTACCGCATGCCGCAGGAAGATCCCTGGAGATGCTGATAAAGCTCCCATTAAAGCATGGCATTCAGGAGCTTCAGAGCAAACTACTCCAGACACGCAAGCAGGAAGCCTGGCTGAAGGGAGAGCACAACATGGAGGCACATACCGATACTAGTCCAAGCAGGGCTACAGACTATCTAGCATGGCCTACACGTGGTGTGGGGTAGACCTGAGACATAGTCCTCCTGTTAATCAACAGCCACTCCCGTTAATGCAGGGACATATTGCCTCTTCATATTGCTTTCACCTCTCTGCCTTTTCTTTTATGTTCTTCTCTTTTCTCTTTAGTTTAACTACCTGACTGGTGAGGTGAACCCCAGTGGCACTCAAGCTTACTAGCTATCGCCGGCTGAGTTTGCAGCTGCTTAGTGTAGCTTAACACAGAGCTGGCTCATCATAGAAATGAGTTAATATCTCAGTAACATAAGCATGTTTCACAACCTACCTTAATACTTTTATTACCATGTCTATGACTTTGCATAGCTTAGTATCTTTCTTAATAGTTAATCTAGACATGTTATGTGTAGCCTGTATTTTACATAGCATTTCAAAAATTGTGCGGTATATCCAAATGCCCTGTAACTATTATGTGTGGCGGAACAGACCTCGCCACGTGTTCTTGGAGGGGGCTGCTTGCCCGCCTCCTACCTTCTGACTATGGCCCTGGGATATATGGCATTTGAAAACACTATTTGTGCCCTGTGACAAAACTGGAGATTGTGCACAAATATGACTATTGTCCATATTTTTTATGATTCCCTTTGTTTGTTGCACTGTTCCCCATGTGTTTCATCTGTTGGTTCGGCTGGATAGACTACCAGACAAACTGTGGAATTACTGGGTGGCCACCACTTCATGTATCAGAGGCACATGGTGAGAACAATGGATGAAGCACATGGTGAGAACAATGGATGAAGCACATGGTGAGAACAATGGATGGTGGCCATTTTAACTCACAGACACTGTTTGGACTTTTCAACACGGTGCCATCTCACCAGTATTTGGTGCACAGAGACATCGTGCAGTGGTTTTGGACTATACAGCAGGGGACACATTATACAGTGATTGGTTTTTATTTAGCCTGCATATGTTCTGCAGAATCTGCATTAAACTGTATCTTCCAAAGTACTGAACGGATCTGGGTGAATTTTGGATATGTGGTTCATATGGGTGGGTTATTGCATGTTTTGGGGTCCCTGTGATATGTTTCATAATACTGTGTTTCTCTGCCTGTGATAATTATATTACCCATTGTGTTCAGTAATCATATTGATACCGGAGAAACTGACGGAAGCAAAGCAAAGAGGGATGGACACAGGTTTCTTCAGGAAGGAAGAGATTCTTTATTGGATCACCGATCGGGACTCAGAGGGACTAATGTCACCAAAAATACAGCAAGTTCTGAGCCCTGAACAATAGTGCAGGCTCCCTATATAGGCACATAACTCCTCCCATTAATAGCTACACCCACATATACCTTTAACCAATCAATGAGCAGAATATAGACTTGTACATCTAGTCAAACCACATGGCCCATCCAAGACAAAGGAAATAAGTGCAATTTCAGTTCCTGCATTCCTGCACATGCTCAGTACACTGATGACAGTATCCTAGCTACATGTAGCTAACCAACTGACACAACATACACATATGCCACATGGAGATTTTGGCCTACTAAATTTTAACCATGCTGGAATCCCATCACATTCCCCCCTTTGATGCCTCTTGATATTTTACAATTACTTGAGGCATCACTTAACCTTGGTTTGCATACACCACAAGTTACCTTTGAACCAGACCAGACTTATCCTATGATGTGAATCTTCAACACTCGTCTTCCTGCATTGGTTCTCCCTGATCTAGAGCCTTATATTTATAAATTGCCATTATCTGTGCAGCAGCCTTCCTCTCTGCTATATTTTCTATCAGGCTTTGCACAGACCTAACTACTAAGGGTATAAGACACGGCAGGAGTAGACACAACATTAAAATCAGTAGGACTCCACCTACCACTGCCTTAAGCCCTCCAAACCACTCATACCAGCTACCAAACCAACTACTTGGATTGTACCCTTTCCATACCTGAGTAGGCACATGCGCTAGTTTAACCATATGGCTAGTAAGCTCAGCTATTGCTTGCCCTTCGTCATCTATTTGAAGACAGCAATTGCTCAGGTTAAACTTCCCACATACACCTCCCTCTACTGCCAAAAGATAATCCAAGGCTAATCTATTTTGGTAAACTGCTGTCCTCATCCTGGTATTATGCTTCGCTAGAAGATTGAGCGCTTGTGATGTCTCGTTAGTAATGATCTCAACCACCGCCTGTAACCTTATAATGCGGTTGAGCATATAAATAGGGGTTCTATAACCAAAGGTACCATCCTCTGCCCACGTGGCTGGCCCATAATAATCTATAATACGCTGGGGAGGCCATTCATTATCTTCCCAGGCACCTATCTCTATGGGTCCCCTTTTCTTCCTATGATTCACATCATACACTTTAACACCTAAAGTCTCACCTGTTTCAATAGGCAACAAGAAGAAAGATGGCTTTGGCATACCTAATACACATGCCCCTTCCCAATCTTGTGGTAACTCCGAATAAGTTTTCTTACCACAAATCCAGTGTAAATTTGCTGGGGCTTTCCAGTTAGATGTGATGGATAGATCAAACCATACGTCCTTTAAATTGGCATATCTTGCAAACGGGTTAGATGGTTCTGAGACATTTGAAGCTGACCACCAAGTAGTATTTTTAGTATTAACATTATAGGCTTTTTGTCCCAAGCAAGTTAGCTCACCTACAGGCGTGTTATACATTGTCCCTTTCCTGGCTATACAAACATGACCTATAATGGAGGTTTTAAACCGCCATTCTGATTTACTTCTAGTACTTACTTGATGATCAGACTGGAAAGGTATCTGTTGTTCATATGTCTCAGAGCCAGGGTACCATATTTCCTTTGCCTCCCATGGCCACTGGCCTCCCATATTAGTACCTCCACACACATAGCAATTAGTTACATTAAGACTACCTGCAATACCCTCAGCCAAATCAATAAATAGGTTGTTAACATTATGGGGAATTTTATCCTCAATACTCATCTCCTCATAGAAGGAATGAGAAACCTGATGAGTTTGAGTTGCCACTGTCTCAGTTTCAAGACCTACATATATTATTGTTCCTGAATCTACTCCTGTGCCATATATTTGAACCCAAACAGACCTCCAAACCTGTCAATAAAGTACTGCAGATTGGAAATGGTCATGTGAACGGGGTTACACACATAGGTTTACAGTATGGTGTGGTAGGCAACCTTTGGATAATCATATCTTGATCCACTGTTTTTCCCAGGTTGCCCAACCTACACATGACCAATAGGGGCAGAAGTTAGTCTCTATTTGGGCAATCAGGATCAGTAGATCTTTTACTGGGACATAAGTATTTATCATTAAACCCATAAGTTCGTTCCCATTTAAGATTACCACATACATTCCAAAGTCTTCCACTACCCGAAATTGCCTTACATGCATCAAATAGTAGAATACCCGTGGAATGTATGGTGCTTATCACAGTCCTATTTAGTAATGTCCCCTGGGATTTACTATTCCGAATTACCAACCAAATTGTACGGGGTTGGAAATGGGGATCAAAACATTTAGACTCTCCTGATATTGGCTTGCACACACTATAATCAATATCCAAATATCTACATTTAGATACAGATCCCTTACATTCATACTGTGAGTGCCAGATGAAAGTTTGGGATATTTGGTTACCTGTTTTAGTAGTCTTAATGCAACTACCGCAATTCGGTATGTCTGTACTCCTACCTTCCTGAAAAATCATAAAAATACTAAAACACAATAAAACACATTATTCCTGAAATCCTCATTTTTCTTCGACCGTGCGATGGCCTCTCAGCTTCCCGATTGTGAGGGCTGCAAGGATGTTGTTCTTCTGATCCTCACTTTCCTTCACAGAGATCCCTTCAAGATACTCTGGCTATGACACGTAGGCAGGTGGTCAGGCTTTATTATGGCCGTCAAAACACCTACTTGATGATCTTTGTAGACTTTTAACTAGAATGTCTCGCTATCCCCTCGTCACTCCGACTGAGTTGCACGCTTCAACCGGGTCCTGCAAGGATTCTCAGGATCTGGAGGAGCTTGCCAAGAGTCTGCTGCTGGTTTAACCTTAGAATGATGAATCCAAGGAGTCACTTCCGCCACCTTTACAGCTGTTGGGGTAGATAAAAGAACAACATACAAAGGCTAACAGGATACACCCGAGCTTTAACTCAATATGTATTGGTGGGATATTACGAGCAAGTCCTGGAGGATTATTTTCTTCCCATACTCCTGGAATGTCAAGTAAGGATTCATCACTCTTAGGGTTAACACTTGTCACTATGGAATAGAAGCGTCATTCTTCTTCCCTCGGCACCGATATCACCATTATGCCTGGTAATCCCTTAAACTTCAGAGATGTTAATCCATTAGGTAAAAGGTTATCTGAGTTTAAAGCTTCGATAATAGATCTCGTCCTAAAAGTTGAATCGGACACTCTGGCATATATAGGAACTAATGCTTCACCACATGGCCTCCCAGAATACAAGTGCGACTCTTAAGAACCGGTCTAGCTGCACTTCTCCCAGTAGCTCCTATCACAGTTATAGTCTTCCCCGAAGGCGGAGCCACCATCTTAGTCACCACAGAATGTTCAGCACCTGTGTCGATCATGAAAGAACTTCTCTTTCCCCCTATTGCTACATCGACCATAGGCTCCGCTCGACCAAGTGGGATGGAGCCCAGTCGGTATCAATAGTCTTCCATGATAGTGTCAGCCAGACCCACAAAATCTCTATCCTCTCTTTCTCTAGGTCTCTGCGTGGGTGGATAGTATCTGTCTCCTTGAACACTTCCTCTACTATTCCCACCATTCCCTCTAAAACTTCCTCTTACTCTATAACTACCACTATAACCTCCTCATACCCTTCTCTCTCCTTGTCTATCACCTTCATACTGCTCTCTCTGTGGACACTCACTCTTCCAATGTCCCTCCTTTCTACAATACGCACATTAATTCCTACTTAAAGTCCCTTGCTCAGCCTATTCTCGTCTCCTCTATTCACTTCCCTGTCTTTCTACACTTAAGATAGCTACCGCTAGCATATCTGCCTTTTTCCTCATTTTACGTTCTTCCTCCATCTCCCTATTCATATATACTGTATTTGCAATCTCCATTAGCTGTATTATGGACATCCCTACAAATCCCTCTAATTTTCTTTAATTTCCTTTTACTATCACCTTGGGTCTGGCTGACAAATGCTGAGTCTATCATTCGGAAGTTTTCAGGGGCCTCTGGATTAAAGGGAGTATACAACCTATTTGACTCAAGCAGTGTCTAATATGGGACTTCAGCAAGGCTGCCCAATAATAGGTTCCAGTCTAGGATTAGTAAAATAGGTGAAAGGGGGTGAGCTAATTTTATTAGTCAGCATTTGGTGGATGAAAAAATGTTTTTGTGTAAAGTGTTAAACCAAAAACCTACCAGTAGGTGTCACCAGAGGGTAATTGTATCAAAATAATCTTTATGGGTCTAATAAGAAAACTCAACTTTTAATATATTTATACATAAAATAAAACCTTATAGCAATAAATATATTAAAATAGGGTAAGCAATCCTACATCTATCTGTTATAAACAATGTATTATCAATGTAACTCCCGAAGATGGCCAGTAGGTGGCCTAGAGTGCCTCCCTAAAGTCAAATGAAACAAATAGACTTTAATTAATTATGTCCTATTTTATTATTACTTATTTTAATCAATGTCCACCCTGCTAGCTAGGCTTGATTAAATCTTTAGTTCTAAGGTAAATTAAACATTTCAGTTTGTAGTTTAGTAAAAGGGGACATTTTGGACAAAGCTGGGAGGGGCCCATCCAGTAACTAAAAAACCAATATACCATCTGATACCATTGATCATTGATTAGGGGGAGGGGTAGTACAGAAATACAAGAGTTTGAAACACAGGAACAGATAGGTATGTGGGTAGGCGGGGACAGTAGAGCAGGGGGAGTGCAAATACTGATTATACCAGCCAGAAATGGGCGTGGCTACTCTAGCTCTGGAGGATGTTTGGGGGGTTGGTAATCAGATGCCAG